GTGTGTGCCTGAGTGGCCTGCATGCTGGCCACTGAGAGGCCTATTGCCTCCCCAGGGTGTGATCCTGGTGTACGACATCGCAAACCGCTGGTCCTTTGATGGCATCGACCGGTGGATTAAGGAGATCAATGAGGTACAACAGGGGCAGGGCTCCCTCCCTGTGGGCCCACGGAGGGGTGGGCAGGGGAGCCAGGGCACGAGGCTCCAGCCACAGCAGGGAGGACATGTCGCCTCCTAGCACAGGATGAGGCCCTGCACACAGTCAGGTGGGTTGACCAGTAGGGACTAGGCTGCTATCTGCTGGCACCCCGAGCAGCCCAGCTGCCAATGGGGATGTCGAGTGGTCAGTCCCACCCACTGTTGTGAGTGTCCTGGGGTGGCTGTAACAGCTCACCACAGACTGTGTGGCTGAACACAAAGGAAACTCATTCTCTGAGTTCTGGGGTCAAAGTCCAAAATCAAGGTGTTGGCTCCCTCTGTTTGAGAGGAGGATCCTTCCTGCCTCCTCCAGCTTCTGGTGTTACTGACCATCCCTGGTCCTTGACCTGTGGACGCCTCAATCTCTGCTCTGGCGTCCTGTGTCCTCTCCCCTTCTAAAAGGACACAGTAATGGGATATTGGGTCCACCCCAAGACCTCATCTTAACTAATTCCATCTGCAAAGCCCCTACTTTCAGACGAGATCGGGCGCGTTCAGGGTGGTATGGCCGTAGACCCCTACTTTCAAAAAAGGACATACTCTGAAGTTCTAGGTGGATATCACCCCAGGACACCTGTCAACCCAACAACAAAGCTTGCACCTGACCCACTTTCCTTGCCTCTTTGTCACCCTTTAGCATGCCCCGGGGGTCCCTAAGATCCTGGTGGGGAACCGCCTGCACCTGGCCTTCAAGCGGCAGGTTCCCACGGAGCAGGCCCAGGCCTATGCGGAGCGCCTGGGTGTGACGTTCTTCGAGGTCAGCCCGCTGTGCAATTTCAACATCACTGAGTCCTTCATGGAGCTGGCCAGGATTGTGCTGCTGCGGCACGGGATGGACCGGCTCTGGAGGCCGAGCAAGGGTAGGTGCTCCTCCAGGCTGCCCGGCAGCCCCCCAGCGCTCAGCCTCCCAGGACCTGCCCCCAGGTTGCTGTCTCCATTCTCATAAATCGGACTTTCTGCCCCTTGGCATTACAGCCACTTGGGATGGAGTGTCCTCTGGTGGGTGCGTCTCCTATGCTGTGGGTGAGCTGCATCCCTGGTCTCCCTGCCCCCATTTGTGAAAACCATCAATGTCTCTAGACTTTGCCGAATGACCTAGGGAGTCAAAATCACCCCTAGTTGAGCAGCACTGTTCTGGAAGTTATTAGGACCTTGATTCCAAAAGGAGCCAAAGCCTGGGTTGTGTTTCTTTTGTCTGATCCTCCAGGGATTGAGCAGCACCCTGACCACACCAAGGGTGAGACACAGTCTCTGCTCCCAGCAGGCCCCTTGGAAGCCCTGCTTTATGTGAGCAGGGAGTCTGACTCCGTTATAAAATGAATGATGTAGGTGAAATATAAGTGACAGCATTTGCTTTTCTGCTGTGTTCTCCAGTATGTCTTTATAAAGCTGATAACACACATTTTTTGGGTCAGCTACTCAGTTGGGAGGCACATTTCCTGAAGCCCTTGGCCTCAAGCCCCAAAAGCTGGTTGCATTAATCATGAGGAGACCTCATTGGCCATCACCTGGCAGGACTCATCTCTCAGACCCAGTGGAAGAGACAGTGGTGGTCTCAAGTTTGGAGGCAAACTGGGTTTAAGGAGACGGAAGCAGGACCACCCATTTCTAATCGCCACATGTAGGCAGGGTGGGAGACTGGGACTTGACACCTTGCCCCAGAGTCCCAGAGAGAAGGGTGGACAGGCGTCCTGCTGCCCCGGTGTTGCCCCCATGCCCAGGACAACACAAATGAACCAGGTTTTCTTTTCTCTCCCAAGTACTGAGCTTGCAGGACCTGTGCTGCCGGGCAGTGGTATCCTGCACGCCTGTGCACTTGGTGGACAGGCTGCCGCTGCCCACGGCCCTCAGGAGCCACCTCAAGTCCTTCTCGATGGCCACCGGCCTGAACGCCAGGATGGTGCATGGCCGCCCCTGCTCCCTTGCCACCAGCTCCGGCCACAAGAGGACCAGCCTCCGAAAAGCAAAGGGCACCCACCTCCCCCAGAGCCCCCCCAGACGCTGCTCCAGAAACAACTGCAAAGTCTCTTGAGGAGGGTACAAGGCAGAGGAGGGGCACAGACAGGAGGGGGAGGCCACTCTGGATCTAGACGCCCGCCAATGTCATGGTGACCACGTGGCCCCGAGCGATGAAACTGAGGCTGGTACCCTGCTTACCAGATACTTCTGCATGGATGGGCATGGGCTCTTATTTCAGACATGTGTTTATAAAGGGAAGAACTCTGGATAACATGGAATTTTGAATGTAACGTATCATGATTGCAGTGCAACTTTTTTCTTAAAATAACTACTTTTTATAAGAATGGTGATATGTTTGTGATGAGTATAAATTCTAGGGACTACAAAAAGTGGGAATGGAGAGAGAAGTTAAGAATTTTCGACACTATGAGGGGTCTTTTTATAAACCTCCTTTTTAATGTCAAAGCACTAATTTATAAAACACCATAGATAAGTTAGAGATTACACACAGCCAATCTGTCCAGCTTGTGTATGAAACGGATTTGATCAAGTTTTTGCTACGTTATTTACTATGTTTTAGGATAAGTGATTTATATGCATATTTTCTGTAAATCTACATTTTTTTGTACAAATGTTTTACGAGTTATGACGCTAAGGGAAGAAAATGCCAAAGATATTTCTAGTTACAGCGAACACACTGCAGCACGGTTACACCATGTCCAGACTGGCAAGAGAATGTCACTCAGAGCCGTTTTCAGCTAAGAGTGAAGCGAACACTGTTGTTTAAGAATCGATGTTTCTTGACAATAAAAAGTATACTTGTTTCTTGGTAGACTCGTTGGCTGCTTCTTTCTGGTTTTGTGTACTTCCATCACCCTTGATCCCATTTGCCTTATTGCCTATTTCAGTCACCAGAGTCAGTGCTAGTACCTGGCATTGGCAACAGGGCTGTGTCCCTGACCTGAACCACGGAGTGAAAGGATGCCTTCTCCTGAAAAGAACGCAGAGGCAGACAGTGGGGCCTGAAGGGGCAGCTGTCCCGCCAGTGTCTCTACAGGATGAGTGGGAGGTGCTCTGGCCCCAGTGCATGGGGCATCTGCCCAGCATGAGTGACGTCAAGATTGGAGCTGACTCTGCCAACGCTCCCGGCAGGGCCTCCTTCCTGGTTCTGTGGCTTGGCTCTCTGTGGCAGACAGAAGATGCAACAATAGATTAAAAAAATAACTTTCAGAGAAGAGAAAACACCCAGATGTCCTTGGTTTCTGTTAGCAATTTTTAGTTTTTCTTTGCTCTTTGGGCTGTACCACCTGGCATGTGGGATCTTCATTCCCCAGCCAAGGATTGAACCCACACCCCTGGCAGTGGAAGTGTGGAGTCTTAACCACTGGACCACCAGGGAAGTCCCTGATTTATAGGTTTTTAGAAATTTAAAGAAAGCGACACCTTCAGAGATGGTGGAGCTGTGGCCTGGAGAGGAGGAATGAGCTTAGCTGCTGCTGGTCACCCAGCCCCCTGGGCATGAAGGGGACAAATGTCCACAGGGGAGCAGGTGAGGACATAGCAGGTAAGTCTGGAGGGGACAGTCTCTCTACAAGGGGCTTTGGGCCTGGGAGGACTTGCTGGCGGACTGTCGCATCCTTTTCTCTGTTGGGCAGTGGATGGAGAAAGGAGAGTGAAGAGCTGACCTGCTGACCACGAAACCAGACAGCTGAGGTGGGGTGTCACTTCCCTGACCGCAACCAGCAGAAAAGAGGAGTCCATCCTGAAAGCAAGCCCCTCTCCCCACCCTTGAAGTGTACACAGAAGTACAAGGTGCAGGTTCCCCAGGTGGAGGGGAGGAGGCTGGGGAGAGATGCCTGGTTGCAAGGCTAAACCAGGCCCCTTCTGTTCCTTTTCATTGCTTAATTGAAGGACCCCTGGGGCCACCAGAAGCTGGAAGAGGCAGAAGAGAGCCCTGCCCACACCTGGATTCAGACTCTGATCACCAGAACTGTGAGAGGCAGATTTCTATTGTTTTAAGCCCCCTAGTTTGTGGCGATCTGTTATAGCAGCTCCAGGGCTCACACGAGAAAATAAGTTATGCTTCACAGTAGAAAGTGCTATCAAAGTAGCATTCCTGTGAAATAAAAATAAACCCTAATACAGTGGCGCTAGTGGTAAAGAACCTGTCTACCAATGCAGGAGACCTCGGTTTGATCCCTGGGTCGGGAAAATCGCCTGGCGGAGGGCATGGCAACCCACTCCAGTATTCTTGCCTAGAGAATCCCAACAGACAGAGGAGCCTGGTAGGTATAGTCCATAGGATCACAGAGAGTCAGAGATGACTGAAGTGACAGCACCCATGCTATATAAAATGTATTAAGCACAAGTATGCATGTTTTGGTGGTGAGAACACAGAACTCATAACTGAAATGTAAATTGAACCGTGGAGAAACTGTTCTCAAACTTCACCATTTTCTCCTGTGGCTTCTCTGCTGGCAAAATCCACCCCCCAGTATAAACAAGAACACCAAATTATGTCCCAGCTGTTTGTAATTGTCTTTTCAAGCGTCTAGATTCAAAATGCATTATGTACAATTATGTCTTCAATTGCCCTGTGAAAATTACTGTGATGCAGAATAATTTCCTAGACAGTTTACAACTTTGATGAGGAATGATCCAGGCAAATATTGAATCTGCAAAAAATGTCAATTACGGGCTTGATAATATTTGTTTTGCCAAAGACAAGAAGATAGAGATGCTTCCCTCTGCAGGAGAAGTGTGTCATCAAAGTAAATGTGAATTTGAAAAGCAAGCATGAAGCTGCATGTATTGGGGAACTGGAGGGAGGTAGCCAAGCTGTCATGGGCGGCAGGGGATATGCCCTAACACACCGGGAGGGTGGAACCCCGTGTTCACTCCCTGCTCCCTATGTGCTCTCAGACCTCTCTTCCCTTGGGGCCCCAACCTTCACCAGGGGTGTCGTCAATATGCTGACCTAGTGGTTGAGGCTGACAAAGCCTCAGAACAGGGCGGTTGTTGTTGCAGATGCTCCTGCTGGCAGCAGGCAGATGGGTGGATGGTAGTAATGGGAGCCACCTCTCACATAGGCAGTGGGTACCCAATAGGGATCCCTGCCCTGGTGAGGGTCAGGCTGGCCCTGTCCCTCCTCACCTCTGACCATCGATCCCCAACCTTTGCTCCCCAACCAGCCTAAACTCAACAGTCAGGGTCTGGCTCCATCTGTTCCAGCTTTGATGGAATATTTAGGTCTGCGCCCTCCTTCTTCAGATCTCTGAAATCTTACATATTGTTCTCAAAAAAGGCTGGTTCCTGCCCATCAAGTTTTGGCTTTAAATCCTACCATCCCTTTCCTGCCTCAGTCTAGAAATCAAGTGTGGAATATTGCTTCTTTCACTCTACTTTCCCATGAGTTGAACAGTGGACCCAGCTCAGGCACAGAGGCTTCTGAGTCACTGCGGAGAGGAAGACAGAGACAAGGAAGAGTTCCAAAGTCCACTTCGGTCCAAAGGCTGTTGCTCCAGCCTTTACCCTTCCTAGGCAAGGTAGCCCAGAGGTGCTCTCACTGCTGTCAATCAGAGGTCATCAGGAACTCAGCTGACTCATCACAGAGAGACCGCGCAAGGTCGAGAAACAGGGGCATTTCCAGAGGATGCTGGAAAGGATTCAGACTAACTTGTGCTAGAACACTTTGCTGTGTTCAACACTCTCAGGGAGCAGGGGTGATTCTGGGATCACTGTTTTAGTAACTCTTACCTAGAAGGTGTGAAGACTGAGCCAGGTTAAAGCTGTCTCTGCCAAGAGCAGCAGCAGCTCCGACTCCATGATGGGGTCTGGTCTTTGCTGGCTCAGACACTGCTCCATTCTGGACTGTGTTCATGCAAGGTCTTGCTTTTATGCTGTGCCTATAAGCCAGAGTGGCCTTGTCCAGGCAGCTGTCATATCCTACAGAGCCCGCTATGGCCAGACTGGGTATATCAGAATCTCCGGTGCTCTTTCTGTGCCTGATAAGATGACAGGAAGGTGACTCTCTCGGCCAGGAGTGGACTTGGTACTCAGGTCTAGAAAACGCCTGTCTGCTCTGGCAGAAGCTGACTTCCTACTTCTACTGGAGGACAGTGCCTTGTGTAGCTCAAAGCCAGCCAGCGTTGTCTGCTGGTTTCCTGATACCTTGCCCCCACCCCAATTTTATCTTTGCTCCTTGGTCCACTTCAGAAATCAGGGGTAACGATGGTAGCTTTTTGAAGGTTCTCTAGATTGTTTTACTAGTGAAACACTGTATCATATGAAACAACTTTATTTCCAAAGCCCTCTGCGTGTTGTAATAGTTTCCTACTGCTCTTATATTCTGTTTTCTGTGGCTGCTGTAACAAATTTACCAATAGTAGAAATGTATTCTTCCACAGTGCTGGAGGCCACAACTCCAAAATGGGCTGATGTGAAGGTGTGGGCAGGGCTGTGACCTCTCTGAAGGCTCCAGAAGGATCTTTCCTGCCTCTTCCAGCTTCCATGGCCTCGGGTATCCTTTGGCTTGTGGCTGCATCATTTTGACCTCTGTGTCCGTGTTCACATGGCCTTCTTCCTAAGTGTATCAAACCTCTCTCTGCTTTCCTCTTCTAAGGACACATGTGAGGCACTCAGGGCATATCCGAATAACCCAGGGTCATCTCCCCATCTCAGGTCCTTAATTTAATCACAGCTGCCAAGATTCTTTTTCCAAAACAAGGTAATATTTGCAGGTTCCAGGGATGGGGACCTGATATCTTTGAGGGCCAGTCTTCAGGCTGCCACATGAGGTACTGAATCATTGGCTGTGGTGACTTATAACAATATATATTTATTCTCTCACGGCTCTAGAGGTCAGAAGCCCTTAGTCTTGAGATCAAGGTGTGGACAGGGCTGGTTCCTCCTTCTGGAGGCTCCAGAGGAAAATCAGTTCCAGGCCTCTTCCAGCTTCTAAGAGCTGCCATTGTTCCCTGGCTCATGGCCACACCACTCTAATCTCTGCCTCCAGGGTCACATTGACACCCTGTCTTCCTCTTACCAAGGGATGGCATTTAGAGCCCAATCCTCTCCCCATCTCAAGGTCAATAATCACATCTGCAAAGTTGCTTCAGCCATACAAGGGGACACATTTACAACCTTGTGGGTAGTTTTTCAGCTGACCACACAGGCCCCTCCCCTCTTGCAGATGACAACCCTGCTCCAGGAGAAACCACCATCTCCAGTTCTGATGGTTTAGCAGGTAAAGAATCTGCATGCAATGCAGAAGACATGGGAGATGCAGATTTGATCCCTGAGTGGGGAAGATCCCCTGGAAGAGGGCATGGCGACCCTCTCCAGTATTCTTGCCTGGGAAATCCCATGGATGGAGGAGCCTGGTGGGCTACAGTCTATGGGGTCGCAGAGTCAGACTGACTGAGCGACTAAGCACAACAGCATAGCTAATTCTGTGTTGTTTTCTTTACTTGTCTGCATCCACCTCAGTATGCATCCTTGAACAGCGGCTTCCTGAGTCTGCCTGCTTTGAGCTTTTTGCAGAGTGAACTGCACGTGGGTCTGCTTTGCAACTTGCTTTCTTTGCTCAACATGTTGATAGCTTACAGTGAATGATGTGGGATTTGTGATCTTGGAAGATTTAGCCTCCCTGGACCAGGGGCCAGGCTTGATCACTCAAGAGCTTTTGTGTAGCAGAAAAGAGCTTTTGTGCCCTTTTATTAAAAGGACAGAAAGCTTCTGCCCAGGGGCTCCGCATGCTAAGTGGCCTGGAGCTAGCGGGCGGGCATCAGGGAGGGGCCTGACCTGGCCCCAGCAGCCGCCATGGCGGACAGCGGCCCCATGGGGGGCGCAGCGTTGGAGGCCCCAGCCAACGGACCGGGGAATGGCGGCCCAGGGCCCGGGGCGTCTACTTTCAGAGCCTCCCTGGGGCTGCAGGCGAGGGCTGCGACAAGGGCCCAGTGAGGCGCCAAGGTAAGGTCACGGTCAAGTATGACCGCAAGGAGCTACAGAAGCACCTCAACCTGGAGGAGTGGATCCTGGAGCAGCTCACTCGCCTCTACGACTGCCAGGAGAGGAGATCCTGGAGCTGGAAATCGATGTGGATGAACTCCTGGACACGGAGAGCGATGATACCCGGGCTGCCAGGATCAAGGAGCAACTGGTTGACTGTTACAAACCCACTGAGGCCTTCATCTGTGGCCTGCTGGACAAGATCTGGGGCATGCAGAAGTTGAGCACACCCCAGAAGAAGTAAGGGTCCTTGACCCAGCTGAACAGTGGCTCCACAGGATAATCGCTGGCCCTGGACTTCATAGCAACAGCAATACCAGGGTCCCTGCGGCCAGGCCCGGTGCCACGAGCAGGGCTCCCCGTGGCCCTGGCCCAGGGTCCTCTTCCCTGTGCCCTCAGTTTTCCATTTTGGGGGTTTTTTATTATTAAACTGATGGGACTTTTTGTGTTTTTATATTGACTGCAGCGTGGGCCATTTAATAAAGCTAGGATGTGCCTTTGGTGCCAAAAAAAAAAAAAGAGAGAGAAAGCTTTTGACAGAGATTTCAGAAGGGGGCCCCCACCCACGTCTTATCAAGGCCTTATATACTTTAACCAGACCCACTCCCACAACATACACCTTAAATTAACAAGATTAGAATTAACAATAGAAAGGTCTCACCAGACCCACTCGCACAACATACTTAAGATAACAACATTAGTCAGAAGGTTCTTGTTAAGGAGAAACATGTCCACAAGCAAGACACTTTGTTATATTGACTGATACAAAGCAATATAGGGAAAAAAAAAAAAGGTGGTCCTTCTCTCCTCCTTGAGAGCCCCAGACCCCTTCCTCTTTCTCAAGGGCTCCAGACCCTTTTCTCCTCCTCGGGGACCCCAGACTTCTTATCAACCTGCCTAGGAATTGACTCTCTTCATCTGATGTCCATCCATGTGGACATGAGGGGCTCTAGTGTTTGCTTCTTGCCTCTCTGGTGTTGCGTATCTGTCCACTGAAGGGTAGATGGAGTGCGACTCTTTTCCATGGGTGGCTAAATTCCCTGGCCTTGCTCAGTACTTTTTATCTTTTAAAAGAAACTCTTTAATAACCCCACAGTAGACAGACAACTCACTTGATGCCCAGCCCCCAGTGGAGACACACTTGGTCACAGCGACACTGACAGCATTCCAAAAGCATTCTGAGAAGTGGGGCCTACGCTGTTAAAATGTTAGAGGGTGTTTTCCCTCTCACAAATAGAAAGCTGGGTTTTAATACAGAACAGATTAGTGCCTGTTGGGGGGGCTTTGTGTCCTGGTGAGCCCTGTGTCCCTGCAGGAGCTTCTGTGTGTCCTGAAGGGGGCTCTGTGCCTTGGGGCATCTGTGTCAGCTGTGTGTCTGTGGGTAGTTCTGGGTCCTGGGCTGGGGCGCAGTCTGTGTCCCTGTGGCTGGGGTCTCTCTATGGGGAGGTGGAGGGTGGGATGGGAGAGTCTAGACATTCATTTACACTTGACTCTTGAACAACACAGGGGTTAGGGACGGCCGCCTTTCACACAGTAAAAACATCTGCGTCTAATTTATAGTCTTCCCTCTTATCCATGACATCTACGGTTCTGCAGCTGCGTTTCTAACCAACCAGGGTCGTGTAGGGAGGTAGGCCTGAGACGTATACTCCTGAAAAAAAAAAAATCTGCGTGTTAAGTGGTCCCGCATTGTTCAAGGGTCATTTGTGCTTCCATTTCCTCACTTCCACCCATTTTGCTCTTTTCGCGAACATTTTACTAGCACACCTGTTAAAAACTCCACAAAGCATTGTTATTTATACTGAAATACTTATCCTTTTATCAATTAAAAATAAGAAAATCTCCTACCTTAATTTGCATGATTTCCGGGGGGACGGGCTTGAGTTAGTCTGAGAGTCTGGGTCCTGCCTGCTCCTGAGGTTTGAGGGGAAAGGCTAGGGTACCCAGTCAGGTGGTTCCCGCCCTCAGCCCTGCGCTCCAGAGATGCGACTCCGCCTCTCAGGTCAGGCCCCGCCCCCAAGCCTAGTCGACCCTCCCTCTTCGGACGAGGCCCCGCCCCCCCCGTAGACGTGACGCTCTCGGCGTTCCCTCCCCGCCCGGCAGGCCGCGGGTGGATTGCTCGGCGCTCCGCGGTTCCCTGGCTGCGCGCGCAGGCGGTGGGCCTTTCGCTTCCGGCCGCGATAGCGTCGGCGCTGGCCAGAGGGATCCCAGCGGTCGACCTCCCGGAGCGGCATGCGGCGCTGAGGCGCGGTGGATCCCGCGGCGCCATGAACCTCCTGCCCTGCAACCCGCATGGCAACGGGCTGCTCTACGCCGGCTTCAACCAGGACCATGGTGAGGAGAGCCCGTCAGTGGCCCCGGCCCCCCCTGCCGCCGTTTCCCCTCCGAGCGGGGTCCCGCCCTCAGCCCTGCGGTGGCGTCCTCACCGGGTTCAGGCCTCTTCCCCTGCCCCCAGCGTTCTCTCCCCTGCCCCTGAAGCCGCCCTCCTTCCCCAGGCCTCCCCTCTCCCCCCGGCCCAGGCCGCTTCCCCGCCGCCCAGACCCCCCACCCCCATCCAGGTCGGACAGTGATGGGATTTTCCGGGGCGGCGTCGGTTCTTTCTTGCCGGTGTAGGGTTCCCAGCGGCCAGGATGGGGTCGCATCGAGGTGGGAATGCCCCTGCAGGCCCAGGACCTCTTTCGCGAAGGTCCTCACCGTTTCTGCTGATTGTCGTAGAATATGCCGCCGGACTCACACTTTTTTTCTTTTGTTGGGTGGCAACCGGACTATTCAGCCCGGCTTTTGGGGAGACGGCCTGTTTCGCCTTTCTGAAATCTTGCGTGATGTGGGACTGCGCCCCACTCTAGCCCAGGGAGGGGGACCCTCGTCGGTTCTGAGGGTTCGCTTTGGAAGCCAGTTTGAAGAGGATCCAGAAGCAGGATCTGTGTCTGTGGAGCCAGTTTGGGGTAGAGTTACGTAGGCCGGGCAGGGGTCGCCCAGCTGTGTCAGCGCGTGGGCGCGTGGGGTGGTGGCTCCAAGGTTCTGGCTGTAGGGCCCCGGGAGAGTAAAGTGTGTTCTGGGAACCGAGGCTAGGCCGGGATTTCCTTCAGGGAGGAGCCCTTAAGGGCGGGAAGAGTTCTTGGAGGGGTGGAGTTGGACGAGGGGGAAAATATGGGATGCGGGCGGCTGGGCTGGGGACCGCACGGGTTGTGGGGTCCGCTTTGGGGGCCAGAAGTTGGGGATCGAGCAGTGTGTGGCTGAACGCTCTGGATTTTTATTTCCAGAGGAGGGCCAGTAGGTTTCTTAATAGGAAACAAATATGGAAACACAAAGCTTACTGACTCTGTGGCCTTTAGATATCCACATGACTGAGCGACTAAGCACACATACCTGTCTTAGGGCCAGATGAGGAATCCTTGTAGTAGGTTTTGGTGTAATAATTGAGGCTCACAATAAAGTTAATTATTTAAGAAACCAGTGAAGTTTATAATGTTTTTATAAAGGTTTCATCAAAGATTATTTAGAAAATACAGCTCTGGCTTTTAAATGGATATATTTCAGTTTTCTGAAAAATACACTCTCACTTTTGTAAAACCACCTCATTTGGTTGTACTAGTTAAAAGGAAAACTTAGTGTTGCTGAAGAAAATAATGCATTTATACTTAACCTTCTGCTTACCCTAAGCTTAATTCCCTATGATGTAAATGTATGCCAGGTTGTGGAGTTCATTACATTTTGTTTTTATATTGACTTTTAATTTTTACTCAGCATTTTTAGTACTCTCATTGAAACTTTAGCTTTAGAAACCTTTGCTCATAACTTTAAATTGTTCAAACTTTTGACTTATCTTCTCCCAAAGATAAGTTGTATTACAGTTTCAAGATTCTGAAGTGTTGATATGTGTGCGTTTCTATAATCTGGCTGCCGTTTTTTCTTTCTCTTCCCGTGGGAAATAGAAGGTTTGAGTGGATACACTTCTGTAGACTAGATTGTCTTGCTGGGACCTAGTCTGAGGCCACAGACTGACTTCGCTGGCTCACTTGGCTGTGGATCTGGAGTGTAGGTGAAGAACACTTGTGTATGGCTTGCATGTGGTTTGTGTGTAGAATGCCCTTCAGTGATTCTGATGCCCTGTTGCCAGTCGGCTTTCTCTGCACTGTGCTTGATCACTCGCTGTTGGCTTGAGGACTTCTCTGTGGAGAAAAGTTTCTTTAAGATAGCAAGGATGGGAAAAAAAAAAGATAGCAAGGACAGGAAGGTTCATGCCAACTGTTGTGTGATAACCAACTAAAACCAGCTAATTTATTTCTCCTACCCCGCAAAATAGCTAGGATAATGCCTAGCCTTCTTAGAGAGTGGTTTCCAGTCTTGTGTTTGTAGGACCTTTTTTCTAGCTTTTTACTGAAGTGCATTACTCTTACAGAAAAGTGCATGTATCCTAAGTATTCAGCTTGTGTGAATTTTCCAAACTGAACACACCTTCCACAGCACCGAGGTTAAGAAACCAAATACCTTGGCACCCTGTGCTCCTTCAGGCCACTCGCCTAGTCTGACTTCTAGCGACATAGATTAGTTTTGCCTGTCTGTACTGTATTTTGTTTCTGGCTTTTTTATTCAGTATTGTGTTTGCAAGAGCTTTTTTCCCGTACTGTTGAGTATAATTGTAGGTCATCCTCATTGGTGCACTATTTCTTTGTGTGACTATATCACAGTTGGTCCATTCAACCTTTGGTAGGCATTTGGGTAGGTTCCCAGTTGGGGCCATTTCAAGCATGCGGGTTCTGCTGTGACCATTCTGTTACCTGTCTTAGTGAATGTGTGTTGTCATTTTTACAGGGCTTGTATACCTAGGAGTAGAATCGACAGAGGCTGTCATGCAGACAGTTTTCCGCAGTGGTTGTCCTGGCTTGCCCTCCATTCCCATGCCTCTGCACACTCATTTTGGCCCTTTTGGCCATTTTGGTGGATGTTTAGTAGATCTCATTGTGGTGTATGTGTGAGATTGTATTTGCATTTCCCTGATTATGTAGGTTTATTAAGCATTTGGATATTCTCTTTTGTGAAGTGTCCAGATCTTTTGCTCATTTTTCTATTGGGTTGTTTGCCTTTTTCTTAATGGATTTATAGGGATTGTTTGTGTATTTTATACAAGTCTTGACAGAAATATGTGTGTTCTGGCAAAGACAAGTAAGATTGGTGCAGGCTTAAAACTTGTGGAAGGTATAATAGTTGAGAAACAAAAGGAAAACTTTCAACTTTTGTATTATTTCCATATTTTCCAGAAAGCCAAGCTCTGATTCTTCTGTCCAGATTACATGATTCCAGTAACCAAAGAGGGAGTTACAGCCCAGAATAAGAAATAATAAGTAACATTGCACTTTCCAGTGAGTGTCAGACTCCAGGCCCAGATAAAGTTCATTTTAGAGCCTGAGCGTTAATTACAGAACAGATTCCAACTTCTGGGAAAGCTGTTAAGGTCTTTGTAGTTTTCTGCCTCACTTTGACAAAAAATAGAAGCATGCTTTTCACATTGTGGGGATGGAGTGGTTGATAGAATAGAATAATGTCATTCCAGTGCTGGAACACGGATCAAAACCAGAAGAGACTCTGAGGGTGGCTTTGGCTTTCAGGTCAGTGATGTGTTGTGCTGAGGGTTCAGCCTCTGCTGCTTGTCTTGGGGAGAGAAATGGAAAGTTTGGTGTTCTTTCTGGTCACAAGTTTCATATAAGCCAGCAGTCGAACTTGGTGGTGTTGACAGAGATTAATGTGGTCTTGATTACATTTAGGCAAGTGAAGTCCAGATCACAGGGTCATCTTAAAACTTTAGTGCTTCCTTCACTTCCTCACAGCATTTTCAGCTGGACCGTTAACAGTCTGGTGTGTGACTTGGGGATGGTGACTGAGATGGGTTTAGGGAGTTAGGATTAGTTCCAGGGGGGAATGAGGTCATGGAGACCTCAAGCTGCCTTCTAACTAAAAGACTGTCCATGCTAGCGCTTCCACCCCTTCTCCAACTGGATGTGTCCCTGCCTGCTGAGGTGGCCTGCTTTGTGGCTGTCCTCTTGGACTCTCTTGTTTGTTGTTGCCTCTCTAGGGCTTAGGGCCTGATACAGCCCTGGAGAGGTGTGTTGGGAACGGGGAGGCCAGTGGTGGGCATTAGAGGCTGGAGTTGAGGGACATGTGGGGTGGCAGAGTGGCTGGTTCGGTAGCTGGTGAGCCCCTCTTGCAGGAGTTAAGTGTTGGAGCAGAGAGCCTGGTCCATGGGATGCCAGAAGGGCCCTGCGGAGGTAAGTGGAGTAACGTGCAAACCCTCTGATAGCAGTCCATGAGGCAAGTCATCGTGACACATGCAGACCACATCCGTGTGGCCTGAGCATCCACGAGAGTTCCTCAGAGAGGCCACTGTTTCTGGACCCCTTGCATGTGCTGCTCCAGGCCTGGGGTCTTCAGCTGAGACCCCAGTGAGGTGATTAATTTGTCTCTCTCACAATTTAGGATGCTTTGCGTGTGGGATGGAAAATGGATTCCGAGTCTATAACACCGATCCACTGAAGGAAAAAGAGAAGCAAGGTAAGAGTAACACATTTCCCGGTTTCTACCCGTTTTCAGTCCTCAGAATCTAGGTACTGTCTTTCAGATTGGAGCAGAGTGGGCTGTGAGAAGTTGTTGTTCCTGGCCCTGTCAGCCTGGATGCAGCTCTGCTCTTCCTCGTGTTGAGCTTCTGTGAGTGCTGGGCTTTGTGGACTGGACGCAGTATGATTCAGTGGGTACTGGTGACTGGTGAATCCAGCACCTGCTGGCCCTGCTGAGAGAGTCAGGTGTGGTTGTGCTGGCCTCTTTGTGCTTCCTGTCCAACGTGAAGCTGTAGGGAGCTGAAGTGAGGGCTTTAGATACAGCTGGTAGGACTTTGACTCTTAAAATAACTCTTTCTTCAAAAATACTATTGTGGCAATAAATTATAGTTGCTTTTGTTTTCTTATTTCAGTGTCTTTTTTTTTTTTTAATTTCAGTGTCTTAAATTATGTTTTCATGGAATACAAGTTTTCAAGCTGAAATCAGGAATTCTTTTGGTAAAATAAAATAATGGTGGTCCTTTTCCCATTTGGCAGGAAAAATGTGTAATTTAACAGGTAGAATTTTCCCATTTGCTTCTTTCCTATGTATTTTTCTTAAGTGACTCCTGGTCCTTTTTTTTTTTTCTTAAGTGACTCCTGGTCCTTACCTGCCAACAGGTGAACAAATCTTAGATAAACCATAAACAGCGAGAAACCTCCTTTTTCTTCCTGCAGTTATGGTTTTGGTTTTTATTCAGTGTGCAAGTTATATTTTCTGATGCGAGAACCGTTTCTCACCTATAAGGAAGTCACTGCATTCTTATGCTCCCCTATCAGCCCCCTTCTGTTTTGACAACTAATAGTCACATCAGGGATTTTCAGAATTTTTTTTTTCCAGCAGTGAAACCTCTTTGTCAAGTAAAATCTTCTATACCACCCTGGTATGTAAAACAGCAAGCGATACTTTATTTCTAGGAGTTTATTTTGTAAAGCTGAAGTCTGTTCAGTTCAGTCGCTCAGTGATCCCGACTGCATCACGCCAGACTTCTGTGTCCAGCAGTGTTACCTTTAAAGAGTGCGTCTTTGGAATTAATGAGGGTTATAGGCGATGGTGGGAGTCTCCTCTCGGTCTTCTATGCTTCTGACTTCTATTTAATTTGTTTAGGTTGCATCGTAAATTAAGACAGCTCTGTTTTATACAGAAAAATAGTTCCAAAGTATTTTGAAACAGCTTGCCTTGCGAATTTCCAGATGCTTTTTACTTAAATTGACCTGGAAACTTAGGAACTAGACTTCAGTGTCAAAGTTGAATCATTAGCGGCATATTAAAAGTTGCTTCCTAAGTAATGAAATGTTTACAGTGAATCTAGGATTTCTTATAACTAAGTTAAAACAAGAAGTATCTCAGCCCTCAGGAAGGCTTGCTATGGCCATGTCACAGTGCTGTGTCTCTTCCCCGTCCCTGCTCAGCTGCACTGGGTCTGGGTCAGACTGTCTCTGAGCTTCGCTTGTGGTGAATTTTGCACTTGCCGGGGATCCAGCAGGGCCACGTGGTGCTTACTGATGGCGTCTTTAAGGACTCCAGCTACATGTGCCTGCAGGCTGGTCCGCTGCTTTATTTCTGGCAGCGAACTCAAAACAGGCAGAAGACTTGACCTTGTTCCTATTTTATCATCGAGATTTGCTTCCTGTATGAGAAAGGAAGTGTGCCTGCATTGGAGGGTCATTCCCAGCTCTGGACTTTCAGGTTTGTCTCTGCTGTGACTGTGGCTCTGCGTAGGGGGACTGCACGACAGGCTGTGATCCGCTGGCATCTTGCAGTCACACCCACTGCTGGATGGAGCTGGCAGTGCCAGGAAGGTGTCTTGGGCATCCTGGGTCCCCTGCACAGAGCCGAGTGGCTCCCTCAGGAGGAGTGGGAGCCCTGGGAGCACAGCCTGTGTGGCGTTCTCACTAGGGTGCTGCAGGGCCAGAGTGTAGGACTCTGATTAATGTACATCACACACACATCCAAGCATATCCTGGCAAGAAGGTTCAAGTCATAATTTGAATAAAGATGTGTCAGGAGTAATACATTTAGATAAAATTATATCTAAGTGGTTATAAAAATAAAAGTACTAAAATAGTTAACTCCAGTCTTCATTTAGAAACACAACCCTCCCACATTCCAAAGGTGACTAGAACTTCTGTAGCCCACGCTCAGTGAACTTGCAAGGTCCTTAAGACCCTTGCCTTCGGCGCTGCCTGACTCCTCTTACACACCACCAGCGCTCACACGTGTAACGTGGGCAGCCGTGTGTAGGGAGCAGAGGGCACACGGAGGCCTAGACAGGATGACTCCTGACAGATGGGACAGCAGCTGAGGCCACTTGTTTCTGAGCCCACTAAGCGCTGCACTGGGGCTGGAGGATGCAGTGATGAGTAATGTGGGCAGGGTCCTTGGTGAGACCACCCAGTGACTGGAAGTAACAGGTGACCTGTCTGCACACGGTCCATGATGCTGCCCAGTTCAGCAGCTGCCTGACCTGCCAGTCTTTCAGGGTCTTGCCCATGGCCCATCATCCTCCAGTTTCAGAGCAGGTTGTGTGGGCTCCATGCCCTGTGTGGTCAGTGAGTCCAGCATGTGGTGAGTGACGGAACGAGAAAGAAGTGGGAAGCATGTGAGGTGGAGGGGGCTGAGCTGATTGTGGGTGTAGGGGGAATGGGGTTGTGTCCAAGTTTGCGATGGCTCTGGGGAGGGTGTGGAAAGGCACATTCCTAGCCTTGATGGTACAAGTTTAAATTGGTAGAACCTTTTTTGTAGAAAAAAATTTGACAGACTGTTCATTTTTTATATTTGCGTGCACACACACGCATACTCTGGTCCAACAATCACACTTAAAGGATTTTATCTGAAGGAAAAAATTGGGAAAAAGACAGTAGATGCTGTGGTACATGTGACTTGAGGGTACACCTGTGACACACTGTAAGAGCAGATAAGTTGGAAAATAGTATGATGGTGCCGTTGGTTTGAGTTCAGTAGTACACACATGATCTTGTTTACAGCTGTTCCTACTTTATGCTTTTCTGTGTTGTTTTATTTTTATAGTGATAATATGTGATTTGTAGGATGTGAAATAGTTAAGCTATTTCTATTAAAAGAAAATGCCTGGGAAATAGGAAAGAAGCATCTGAGGGTTGCCGGGCAGATGCCGTGTGGAGAGGCTGGAGGCTAGTGTCACGCTGGAGGGCTGAGTTCTGACCCATCATCAGTGGAGTGGAGGTTAAGCCAACACTCAGGACGTCCCTCTCCCCCATTTTCTTTCAGTTTCTGTGTGTGTGTGTGTTTATTTTGGCCAAGCTGCTTGTGGGATCTTAGTTCCCAGCCAGGGATTGAACCCAAGCCCTTGGCAGTTGAGAGCTTGGAGTCCTAACCACTGAACCACCAGGAATCCCTCCAGTTTCCTAACCACTGAACCACCAGGAATCCCTCCAGTTTATCATTTTTTGAGGCAGATCCTCTTGGAAGAGTGGGACATGTCAGGTATTGATTTGTGCCTGAAACTTTCATGGGTCAAAGTTTCCTGGGAGCCTGTCTTGTGTTCTCCATCTCTCTGTAATTTTAGTCTGCTGCACAGCCAGCCACTGGGCCTGGCTGCTTTTAGAGACATGGGTGCATCTCTGCTTTTTCCGCCAATTGGTGACCCCTGTGGATCTTTCAGGACCAGCCCTTGGTGCCTGGGGTTCGGGGGCTCTAGTGGCAACCTTGGGCTTCCATTCAGGAGGACCCCCTCCTCTCCAACTACTTGTGGGCTGTGGCCCTTGGTTTGGGGGAGCTAAAAGTCCTCTGATTCTCCTGGAGTTAGGAGTCTTGCCCTTGATTGCTTCTGCTCTTCCCAGGAAAGCCTCTTGTTTCTCTTTCCCCACCTCACTGGTTGATACTGAAGACTCTGCTCTTCTCTCTTTCCAAAGTTAAATCCCAGAGACCATGACTGTTTCCAGTGGTTAAAACTGCTTCTCTGTCTTAATCCTTAACCCTTAACATCTTTGTAATCTTGACATTGATTTAAAAAAAAAGCATCAAAATATTAGCCATAAATTAGGCATCCAGGTAATACAAAATAATTCTGATTTCATGTAACACTGTTTTTGTTGTTGTTAGAAAGAGGCTTAGAGAAAATCACAACTTCTTTCATTTAAATTAAAATTAAAAAAAAAAAAACCTTTCAAACAGAATGTAATTTTCTTTTAACAGAAATTTTTGGTGATTTCTTTGTGTGAAGTACATCAGTTTTTGTTTTTTTCCGATTGGTTCACTGGTGCCCAGGTCACATTTCTGAGGCTCTTGTGCCTCCTGGCATTTCTTTATTCTCCCGTTAGCTTGGTCAGATCTTGCAAGTGACTCACTGCTTTTAGAACTTGAGAAGACTTACGACTGACAAATCCAACATTAATAAGTTTGAAGTCTCAGTGCTCATGTAGTGTTGTTGATATTAGTCTTAAAACATTCTCCCTTGGTTGGATAGTATTTTAAAAATGTATTAGTTACCCCTTGGCATAATTTACAGGTTTCTCCTGATATATTTGATTCTAGAACTTAGGAACTGCACTGAGGAAATAATTGCATTCCTAACACACCCCCAGAACTCTTCATCTTGCAGAACTCTGTCCCCATTAGATACTGACTGCCCACCCCCAGCCACCATCGTCCTACTTCCTATCTTCATGAATTTGTCTAGTCTAGGGACCTCATATAAGTAGACTCATGCAGTATTTGTCCTTTTGTGACTGGCTTATTTCATTTAACATAATATTACATAAACGTAGAGGTTGCTTCTACCCCTTGGTTGTTGTGAATAATGCTTCTATAAACATGCATGTGAAAATATTTCTTTGCAACCTTGATTTCAGTTCTTTTGAATATATACCAACAAGAGGGATTGCTGGAGCATGTGGTAGTCTGTTTTTAGTTTTTTGAGGAACGACCATACAGTCTCCTGTAGTACCTGCACCAGCAGTGAGTAAGAGTTCCTATTTCTTCTCATCCTTGCCAACATTTGTTATTTTCTGTTTTGTTTTGTTTTGATGGTGGCCTAATTAATGATTGTGGCAACATACGAGTGATATCATATGATACTTGTCTTTGTCTTTGACTTACTTCCCTTGGTATGATAATCTCTGGGTTCATCCATGTTACTACAAATGGCATTATTTTGTTCTTTTTAATGGCTGAGTAATATTCCATTGTGTGTATCTATCATGTCTTCTTCATCCATCTGTATGTTGGTGAACAATTAGGTTGCTTCCATGTCTTAGCTATTGTAAATAGTGCTGCTGTGAACATTGGGGTGGATGTATCTTTTCAAATTAGAATTTTCTCTGGTTATATGCCCAGGAGTGGGATTGCAGGTTAATGTGGTGACTCTATTTTTAGTTTTTAAAGGAACTTTCATACTGTTCTCCATAGTGGCTATACCAGTTGGTATTCCCACTCACAGTGTAGGAGAGTTCCCTTTTCTCCACACCCTCTCTGGCATGTAAAAAAATAATCCTTATTTGGTCTTAGTTGCAGCACCCAGGATCTTGCATATTGGCACAGGCTGTTTGTTGCGGCATGCAGGCTTCTGAAGTTGCGGAGCTTAGTTGCTCCACAGCATATGGGATTTTAGTTCCTCATTAGGGATCAAACCCACGTCCTCTGCCTTGGGAGGTGGGTTCTTAACCACTGGACCACCAGGGAAGTCTCTCCAGCATTTAATATTTGTGGACAATTTGATGATGGCCATTCTGACTGGTGTGAGGTGGTGCCTCAGTGTAGTTTTTGATTTGCATTTCTCTAATAACTAGCAATATTGAGCATCTTTTCATGTGCTTTTTGGCCATTAGTATGTCTTCTTTGGAGAAATATCTCTTTAGGTCTTCTGCCCATCTTTGTTTGGGTTGTTTGTTTTTGTTATTATTGAGTTTTATGAGTTGTTTGTATATTTTGGAAATTAATCCCTTCTTGGTAGCATTGTTTGCAAATGTTTTCTTTCAGAATGTAAGTTGTCTTTTTGTTTTGTTTATATGGTTTCCTTTGCTGTACAAAAGCATTTAAATTTAATTAGGTCCCATTTGTTTAGTTTTGTTTTTATTTCCATTACTTCAGGAGATGGATCCAAAAAAGTATGGTTGTGATTTATGTCAGAAAGTGTTCTGCCTATGTTTTCTTCTAGGAGTTTTATAGTTACCTCGTCTTACATTTAGTGTTTGTTTGTTTCTTCTTTTGGTTTGTTTTTTGCTGGGTTTTTTGGCCATGCTATACAGCAAGTGGGGTCTTAGTTCCTCAATCAGGGATTGAGCCCATGCCCCCTGCAGTTGAGTGTGGAGTCTTTAACCACTGGACCACCAGGAAAGTCCTACATTGAGACTTTTAATCCATTTTGAGTGTTTTTGTTTTTTTTTTTAGTTTATTTTTGTATATGGTTTTAGAGAGTGTTCTGATTTCCTCCTTTTACTTGTTCAGTCATGTAGTCGTATCCAACTCTTTGTAACCCCATGGACTGTAGCCCGCCAGGCTCCTCATCCATGTGATTTTCCAGGCAGAAATACTGGAGTGAGTTGCCATTTCCTTTTCCAGGAGATCTTCCTGACCCAGGGATTGAACCCGAGTCTCCTGCATTGGCAGGTGGATTCTTTACTGCTGATCCACCAGGGAAGCCCCTCTTATATGTAGTGGTCCAGTTTTCCCAGCACTATTTATTGAAGAGACTGTCTTTTCTCCGTTGTATTTTCTTGCCCGCTTTGTCATCTGCCTGCCAGTGCAGGAGATGTAGGAAACCTGGGTTCGATCCATGGGTCAGGAAGATCCCCTGGAGTAGGAAATGGCAACCCACTCCAGTATTCTTGCCTAGAAAATTCCATAAGGTTGCAAAGAGTCAGACACGACCGAACAGCTGAGCACACTGCACATCTTCCCGTACCTGGTGAGTGCCGGGGAACCAGGTGAGGCCCTGGTGGTGGAGGCGTGTCCTGACCTGGGGGGTGGAGGATCCCTGGGCTCTCACGGGTCTGAGGCCACATACCAGCAGGGAGCGGTTTAAGGACTGAAGCGTCGTCATCCTTTGAGTTTGGGCTGTGGCCACTTTCTGTTAGAGCCAGAATTGCTTGAGGTGGCTTGTGTGTCATAGGACAGTAAATTGTTTATAAGGAGAGCTGTGTTCCTTGTGGATAGTATTAAGTACAGAGTCCTTTCTAGGGTTTCTACTAGGCCTTGAGTTTGAAACTTCTCAAGTGAGCCTATGGACTTTGGGTCCATCTTGCGTGCCTCCGACTAGACAGGCAGGAGTCAGTTCTTAGTTAACTTCTGATTTTCAAAGGTTTGGGCTCCTTGCTTGCCCTCTGCTGCACCCTCACCCAGGAGCCTGGGGCAGACCAGAGTCGGGGCTGAGGGGCCAGGGTAGGGGCGCCCAGTGTGACGGGAACCGTTCAGAGCGCAGTGTGCTCCTCGGACTCCCCACACTCCTCGTGGGGGTTCTGTTGTTCCCCTGAGTATTGGCTTCCTTCTGTCATGCAGCACACCTGAAAATCTGCTGACATACTCCCCTTCACGTAATTTGTGAACATTTGTGAACATTTTGGACTTCCAGAGGAAGAAGTGTTTAAAAGTGGTGAAAAGGAATTCCAGCTTTTGCATCAGACCATTTGAGATGCTTTCTCAGCATACTTTGCTGCACTTTAAATTATGAATTCAGATATTTCATACATTTTGCTATATTGGCTTCTTAGGTGATCAGTGTTTATACATAAAAATACAGTTCTTGATGCTGAGAGGTTTGAAGCTAATTATTTTCCTAGCTGGTCACTATTTTCATTACTGATCATAGATACAGATTGCTGATTAAAAATCAAATGCTGACTGTTTTTACCTTTTTTTTTTAATGTAAAATATACATACTGACTTCTTTTTATCATTTCAGAATTTCTAGAAGGAGGAGTTGGCCATATTGAAATGTTGTTTCGCTGCAACTATTTAGCTTTAGTTGGTGGTGGGAAAAAGCCAAAATACCCTCCAAACAAAGGTAGGTAAAATAATCCTGCATTTGATAATGCATCTCACGTGTAGTCCCATCTTGAACTTTATAGAGTATCTTTGTGTCTCTGGCCACACTGGATCTCCCCTGGTGGCCCTGTGACTCCTGAAGGGACAGAAGCATCCAGAAAGAGTGCTGTGCCCCCTGCTGTTCCCAGAAGAAACATGTGACCAGAGTCACTTTTCCCCATGGAGAGAGAGCACCTGCTTTTCACTCGGGTTGACTGGATGGGGGCCTCCACCCACATTTTGTCCTGGGTGTTCTGCGGTGGATGTTCTGTGCTGTGAATTTCATTGAAAGCCAGGTGTGGGGAGGCGACTTCTGCAGAGAGCCATGAACTCATGGAAACGCGTAGAACCGAGAACAGCTGGGCTCTGGGTTGAAGAGTGTTGTTCCTGGTATGCATGTGTGAGCCTGTGTTCAAAGAGATGGCAGTGTAAAGGGTGTGGCTCTTTGAAAGTAAGGGAGAAACACAAACTTTACTAGTTCAGCTGACTATCACGTGTCTGTAAATGTAGGTGTCGTTCAGGGCACAAGGAAGAAACCCAGTGAAGGAGGGTAGAGCAGGGGAAGAGGGGCAGGTGGACGGGGAGAAGGTGGGGGCAGACCCCGGGGCTTCAGATGCCAGGTGAGGGTGTGATTGGGAAAGCAACGCCAGCAGTTCTCAGGAACAGTCTCAGGAAGCAGTTAAGAATAAGCTCAGCAGACGCGGCAGCTGGAAGAAAAGAAAGGGGAGCTGTGTTCACAGAAGAAGCAAAAGAGGAAAGTGAGTGCGGGCATCAGGCAGATGCTAGAGACGGGAGGAGGCCTGGGTGACCACTGCCGCCCTAGGGGACTGTTGAGTTGGGGCCCCCTGGTGACAAGCTCCATCATGTCAGGGGCCGTGGAGACCACTCTCTTTCAAAGCTTGGTGGGAAAGGAAAGGAGTATAGCAAGGGAGGTCTCCCTACAGAGAATAAAGGTTGGGGGCGAGCTGAAGATCTGCCTGAGACCATGAGGTAAAGAAAGAGGGCGGGCACGGAAACGCACGGAATTCTGTTTGGGCCTGACTGGCAGTTTCTCAGTGTAGCCTGGCGGGTTGTGTGGCTGTGATGTGGGGAAGGGACCCCACTCTCAGGTGAGGGTTCGCCCTGATAACATGGGCCGAAGGGCAGGAAGCCTGGCTGCTGCCCAGGTCATTGCCGGCGTGGCGTGGATGGGCAGGACTGGCTGTGCGTCCTGGAAGAGGGCCCCTAGAAGTGGCAGTCTGCAGCTGTGCTGGGGCCAAGGCAGGTCTCGCAGTGGAACAGGAATTACCTGACCTGGGCTCCGTGGGAATTAGGCACAGATCCTGCTGCTGGATCAGCCTTTGTCATATGAAGAATTTCATCCATCACTGGTGACGAGTCAGGAGCCTGGCCCCACCTGTGGCACTGTTGGGGGAGAGGGGGTCACTGCTCCCCACCCCCAAGGAAGCAGTGGGTTGGATAATCTGGGGTCTCTGACCTGTAGCATCTTAGTCTCAGTAAAAAAAAAAAAAAAGAGCGTCTCAGGAATTTTACAGATTTAGAAGAAAGCAATTTTCTAACTGAACATTTTGAGCAAAATGTAAGCTTTTTGTAGTGTGCTAAAGGTGATTTTTAAGAAAAGAACTTGGTCTTTATTAAACTTACGTAAGGTTAAAAGTAGGTGTTTTCAGTAATGTCAAAATTACTTCTAAATGTTTTCATAATTGCCAGTTAGGATACATGGTGTTACAGTGTAAAGAATCTAGCTTCTTTGGTTTGTGAGCACAGAATAAAACAGGACTGGAGGAGACTGGTTGTCACGGTGACCAGCTGGGTCGAGACAGAGTGCTGTTCTGGGAGCAGAGAGGCCCTTTCCCTTTTAGGAGTCCAGAATTTTGAAATACTGATTTTGATATTAACAACTATATTATTAAAAGACAGAATCTTGCCCAGTACATTTTAAATTTCCAGTTCCCTGCAGCAAAGCAGCTCACAACTTTCAGAGGCCACAGGGAGTTGGCATTAACTGGAGTCCTTGGATTTTTCTCACTACCGAAGTCATTGTGTCCAGTCACTTTTGTTTTCTGAGTGAAAATTCATGCTGTTGCATTTGGCATTTCATGACACTGTTTCCAAACGTTTCTGAAAATGGGGTTCACCTGTTTTTATGACACCCTTGACATCCTTCTGTCTGGGCTTCTGTCTGGTTTGAGCCGGTTCATGTTGAATTACAGACGTTCTAGTATTAGGTTGCAGAGCCAGAGGAAGTTCATTGAATCGCCTTTTGTGTTCAAGAGTAGAGTGTCCTTTGCCCAGAAGAGTTGTGACCATTTGGCTTTGGAATGATGTTATTTTCAATAAGGTAACCGTTCTACTCACTGACATGTTGGTGCCCTTTAAGGAGAAGCTGACAGGAGAAGTTTATCTTAGATGGTGTTTCAAGGAGCAAGAGGATAATTCTCTGCTTCATCTTTGAGTGGTTAAGAATTATAACTAAGCTATTCAATAGTAAATATGTTCTATGTTAATAATTTTGGCAGTTCTGGTAGGCTGGTATTCAGTTCTTCCTTGGTTTGAAACTTAGATGACACTTACCCATTCTAACAAAACTGACCCTGAATCCCACCCCCTGGACTGTTGTTGGTCACGTGTTGAGACCTTGAGGGGAACATTCTTTCCCTTCCATGCTCAGTCAGCTGTGACCCGACTGTGGAGGGAGCTTATTTCCCTCACCACAGATGCCTCATACCAGCTTTTCAAGTGGAGGAAAGAAGAGGTCTGGACACACACTCCTGATCCTCCAGGGTTGTCTGAAGTCGTCTCAGCCCTTGGGACGTAAACTGCTGATCCATCCTGATGGAAGCTTGTGGTGTGAGCAGAAGGCATTCTCTAGCTTGAAGCAGAGTGAGAACAGTCAGGGCCAAAGAACCCTGGCCTGGGTTTTTATGTGTCTGATTTCCTCATGAAACAACCCTTTCAAAAATAAAAAAAGAAAAAGAAACAGACCTTTCTTTTCTTGGTCCAGGTTTATCTCCAGCAGTTGGTACCTGTGATTGGGCTTGCTTTTTGGCTCAGTCTAATGGAACCAAGGAGAGAGAGGTAGAGAGAAGTCTGCCTGAAAACTAGGGAGGAGGTTCGAGTGTGTGTGTGTGTGTCGAGAGGCGGAGGTTGGGTACCTGAGGTGTGAGCAGGCATGCTGCAGAGTGAAGTGGGAGGGCGGAAGGGAGCAGCAGGACCTGGGAGAGCTTTATATCTAGGGGTTTACTTTGTAAGCTGGTCTGTAATTTTTATTTCTTAGAGAAAGACCGTGTGGCTGGTGGCAAAAGACTCTGGGCCCACACTGTTTAGATCCCAGTCTTCCTCTGCCCTTTGCCAGCTTGCTGTGTGACCTTGGGCAGGTTACCTTCTCTCGGCCTCAGTTTCTTTATGTACAGATGAAGAGGATAACTGCCCCTCACCCCTATCAGATGTTCCTGATGTGAAGACTCCCTCAGGAGTGCCTCTAGCTAGCCAGCCCCTGGCCTGTTCGTTGTCATGTTCATAAATTCTTTCCTGTTTCAGTGATGATCTGGGATGACCTGAAGAAGAAAACTGTGATTGAAATAGAATTTTCTACCGAAGTCAAGGCTGCCAAATTACGGCGAGATAGGTAGGTTTGGTGTCTCATTTTTCAAGGTAGAGTAGTCACCTTCTCTGAAGTTGGCTGAAATAATTTTATATTGAAGGAAGAGATGTGTTTGGGAAAATGATATATAAAAAATAAGGCTGTAGTTTTTGACTCAAGAACATAAGAAAGGCAGTGAGTTTCATTTGCCTCCTGGGATCGTTTGGCGGTGAGCAGTCAGCGGGTGTGGGTGCACCTCCGTGGACTTGCCCTGGGCTGGCCCTGCCCTCCAGCTCTCGGTCCTTCAGGGGGACCGTCCTACCCGTCAGGTGCAGACAGAGGACATGAGTTTTGACCCCTGAATTGCCTCCCTCTTAGCCCACGCTTGTCCACATCATGCCTTATAAATGTTTCAGTTTGAAGGTAAAGGAGAACTCAGGAACTGCTCACAGAGAGTGTCATTGAATCTCACCTGTTGAAAGTAGGCAGTCTCTTGCAGACATTGCCCCTCGTGTTTAGTAGAACACAGGAGTTTTTCCTAGTATTTTGATTGCAGTGGGGCAAAGCTTAGGTTTGTTTTGTGGCATGGGTGTGAATGGAGTCTGTCATCCTGCACTTGTAGGTAGACTTGTATCTTCCAGGAATGTCAACATTTAGAGCTCGTAATAATGCAAGTCCTGGAGCCAAATGAAGGATCTACTTTCTCACATTTCTGAATTGTCAAGACATGTCTAAAAGTGTGTTAAGATAGAATTTCTGACTTTGTGTCCTGCTTGGTTCTTACGCTGTAGATAGAATGGTTGATGAGAATGCCCCCCACCCCACCACCGCACCATGGGCTGTACCTGCCTCTTCCCGGGTGGCAGGGGCTCAGGCCTAGTGTCAGCCTCTGCCCTCCGGCTCCCTGCAGACCTGCTCTGCAGACCTTGCTGCCCCACTCCCGGGGGCAGGAATGGGAATGATCCTCTTGTATGTGGTTGTTGGAGTATTTCTGTTTCCAAATAATAAAAGCCACAAAATGTTTGAGTTTCACTTTGGGGGAGAGAACATTCTGATGGTGTTTTCTTCTTTCCAGAATTGTGGTTGTTTTGGACTCCATGATCAAAGTGTTTACATTCACACATAATCCCCATCAGTTACACGTCTTTGAAACCTGCTATAACCCTAAAGGTAAGAATGCAGAGGAGGACGGATGGTGGAAATGGGCTTCATGAGTCCAGACCAGGTGGGATGCAGACCCATGCTGGGCACCTCTCCTGCAGGTGGTCTTGCAGTGACGTCACCCTCGTGGTGGGTCCTGGAGCATCTGGGGTGCTGGGGAAAGGTCTGAGAGGTGCAAGCTCCCCCCACCCCACTGTGAACTTGCCCTGGGTCACAGCCCGGCCTCCTCACTGTGGAACTGAGATCCTGCCTCTTACCATAAGCTTCTGGGTTTCTCTTGGGACTTTTCATAGTGACTGTCAGCCATTCAGAAGCTCCGTGGTGAGCCTGGAATCCATGGTTTTATTAAGTTCTGAGATTTCCTTCTTGTTTTCTTCTTCGCATGTGGCTTTGTTATTCATTGTATCATCTTTACTTTGCTTTTAAAGTTTTTGGTTTTTTCTTCTGGCTTTATTGAGGTATACTTTACATAAAACTCACTCATTTTAAGTGTCTCGTGTGATAAACTTCAGCCACTGGAAGTAGTCGTGTAGCTGCTGCCACAGTAAGAGCAGAACAGCCCATCACCCCAGAGGCTTCCCAGTCTGCACGTTTCCCACCTGACCCTCAGGTTTTGCCTTTTCAGATATCTTTGCTATCTTTCTCTTAGCTTAATATGTTTTAGATTCCTTTATTTTTGTGTGTGTGTTATTATTTTGTTCATTTTTATTGCTTAGTAACATACTATCATATGGGTGACCACAGCTGTTGGCCCACGCCAGATTTTTTGGCTGTTAGGAATAGAAGCTGCTATGTATGTTTACATGCAGGTCTTTATGTGGCTATTTGTTTTTTCATTTCTCTTGCATGTGTACTGAGGAGTACAATTGCTGGGTCATATTATAATTATTCTTTAGATTCCACATTATGTTAACATACAGTATCTGTCTTTCTCTAACTTAGCAAAACACCCTCCATGTCATCCATGCTGTTGCAGATGGCAGGATTTCATTCTTTTTTTATGGCTGTGTTGCATTCCATCAGGTGTCTATCCACTCTCTGTGTTTGATTGGAGCATCTAGTCCACGTACATTTAAAGTAATTATTGATAGCTGTGTACTTATTGCCACATGTTGTTTGAGGTTGTTTTGGTAGGTCTTTTTCATTCCTTCTTTTGTTTTCTTTAGTGTTCCATTTGGATTCCTTTCTCTTCTTTGTGTGTGTATCTATTATAGGTTATTGGTTTGTAGTTACTATGAGGTTTATATATAGCAGTCAATGTGTATGTGTGTGATTATTTTAAATGGCTCACCTCTTAATTTCAAATGTGTTTTAACGGCCCTACATTTTACTTCCCTCTCTGCACGATTTCTGGTTTTGGCATTGTGTTTTACATCTTTTTGTGTATCCTTTACTCCTTGCAGATGTAGATGATTTACTGCTTTTGTCTCTTAACCTTCCCACTGACTTCGTGGGTACTACTACTCTATATTTGCCTTAACCAGTGAGCTTTATCCTTTAACAGTTCTCATGTTTCTACTTGTGACCTTTTCTTTTTTGCTTAGAGAAGTGCCTTTACCATTTGTTTAAAAACTATTTTTTCTGCATTGGATTACTTTGATACCTTTTTTTTTTTTTAAGTAAGTGTAAGATTTTTCTGGACTCTATTCTGCTCCAGTGGTCTGTGTTTCTGTCCTTATGCCAGTATCAGGCCACCTTGATTTCTGGAGCTTTAAGATAATTCTTGATATTAGGTAGAATAAGTCCTCTGATCTTGTTCCTGTGGTATAAGAATTGAAGGAGCTATTCTAGGACCTTTTACTTTCCTTGTAACTTGGTGACAAGCTTGTCTCTTTCTTCAGAAAAGCCTGCAGAGATTTTTACTGTGATTGCACTTACTCTGTAGATGGATGAAGGTAGGTTCCAGCCTGAGGTCATAGGACAGCTTTCCACTCACCAGGTCTCTGGTTTTCCTTTGCAGTGTGTTACAGTGTTTTCCATCTATCGTTAAATTTATTGTTGAGTTTCGGGATTTTTTTAATGTGTTTGTTAACGGATTCATTTTTAGATTTTATAATTTTGCATTCTCCCAAAAGACAGACATTTGATAAAGTATAATAAGTTCAGCAAATGTTTCCAATTACGAAGCCATCTCGAGGGAGCAAACTCTGCTTGGTTCCCTGCTGCCCTTTACTAGGAAAGGATTTTGTGACTAAATCTTTACTTTTCCGTGAGACCTGGAAGGCAGAGAGTAGGTGTGGTTGTTTAAAAGCAGAAACATCTAGATGGTCCTGAGTCCTTGACAAGTTTCTTGTCTCTCTTTAGGTCTCTGTGTCCTGTGCCCCAACAGTAACAACTCACTCCTGGCCTTCCCGGGCACGCACACGGGCCACGTGCAGCTTGTGGACCTGGCCAGCACCGAGAAGCCACCGGTGGACATTCCTGCCCACGAGGGCGTCCTGAGCTGCATTGCTCTCAATCTGCAGGGAACAAGAATTGCGACCGCCTCTGAGAAAGTAAGTAGGTGTCCCTGTCCCACCGGAGGTCGTGCCTCTAGAGTGACCTCGCCTGCTATAGGATGTGGGCTCCTGGCAAACTAGCCCTTCCCTGAAGATCCCAACTCCCTGAGATTCTTAGCCACCTTTGCTCAGAAAGCAAGCCATAGCTGACAAAAGTCAGCTATGGGTCCAAAAGTCATTTTGTTCAGTTTTGCTCCATCTGTTTGGCAGTGGAATTAGTGTTTCTCTTTGTGACTGGCTGTGGGAGCTAGAATTAAGATGCCATGTCCCTGGGTGGTGAGTGAACTGACAGCTCTCGGGGCCTCGGACAGCCTTGGGTGTCTGCCAGTGGAGCGTGTGCGTGGGACCCGAGAGGGCCATGTGTGGGCTTGGGCCCCGGGCTCCCTGACCCCCTCTCAGCCCCTGCTGGCTGCTGTCAGACTAAAGAGATTTCGGTTCGTTCTCAGTGACAACAGGGGGAAGTTGAGTTTTAGGTTATGTGGGCGAGTTTGGGAAAGACTCTGATGGGCTCATGGGTTTGTGAATAAAACTCATTTCAAAAAAAATTAAAAAGTTGTGAATCTTTGATAATGAAACACTTCACTGTTTTTCAAAGGGGACCCTTATACGAATATTTGATACTTCATCAGGGCATTTAATCCAGGAACTACGAAGAGGATCTCAAGCAGCTAATATTTATTGGTAAGAAAGCACGTTGTTTCACCCGAGAGAAGGGGCCCTGTGTGATCTGGAGAGGCAGGACCACCCACATGAGGCAGGCGGGGGGCTGCTGTACTGGAAGGGGCTAGGTTTTTAGTTCACTTTATTATTGCTGATTTAACTTTTTGTCATGGGAATATACACAGAAGTAGAATATTACAATTACCATGGACCTGTCATCCTGCATTTGTCAGAATTTGCCTGTTTTATTTCATCTCTGCACTGACCCTCCAGCTTATTTTTTTGGTGGTGTCTTCAGGCAGACACTGGAGGCCTTGTTAGCCCGTCTCTAGTCACGTCAGCCTCCAGTGAGGCCGACCTGGCCTCTCCGTGGTGGTTGTTTCCGCGTCCCACAGTGTCTGTAGCTCTGAGGGGCTGCAGCCCTGCTTGAGCAGGACCTCAGTCCTTGTGTCTGTGGCTTTTGCAAGTGTGTGGAGCTGCACCTGGGCTTAAGTGATAAAAATGTAGCCAGTATCTGCAGGTAGCGTCCGTGGGGCCTGTCATGCAACCGACTCTCCCATCTGTCTGCTCTGGGGCCCACCCAGCCAGTCCAAGTGACACCCCCCCATCTCGGGGGCCAGATCATTGGAGGGGAGTTTTTCTCTCCCGGGCAGCTTGTTGGGGTGGCCTCAGGGCCCCTGGGGTAGCAAGGTGGTCTGCTATTGGCACCTGAGGAGGGGCTGTGCCCTGGTTTTGACTCTGGTAAAATGACTGTCCTGACCACGGGGGTGTTGGAGTAGGGGAGCTGAGGTAAGGACTCACTCCTGTGTCCACACAAGACCGAGACCTGAGCTTCATCTGCTTTATCTGCAGCATTAACTTCAATCAGGACGCTTCCCTCATCTGTGTGTCCAGTGACCACGGCACGGTGCACATTTTTGCAGCCGAAGATCCGAAAAGGAATAAACAATCAAGGTAGGTTTTCCAGTTGCCTGAGTGCTGGCCCACTGGGTCTGAATCACAGGCAGGATGCTTCTCCTTGTTCATTCATTTTATTTTCTAAAAACCAGTGCAGATTACTTGATGCTAAGACTGGCATCACGACTCGCCCTGCCATTAGCTCCTTAGGAAATCTGACGAGGTTCCAGACACCTTCTAGGGAGGTAGAGCTTGGTCCTGAACTCTAACATAACAGTCATCCTCGTGTTTGCTGTTCAGACTATCTATTTGGTGGCAGTAGAACCCTATGCCCTGTCTGGTGGTGATGGTTTCTGGGTTTCTAATAGAGCCATTTGTAACAGTTTATTTTTGTGTGAAAAATAGTAATTAAAAGCAACAATAGAATTTAAATCATTAAGGCTAAGCCGACAGTAAGGAGAGCTGTGTCTCTAACTTTGTCATGTAACCATAACTTCCTTTCTTTTCTTCCTTGTCCTCACAGTTTGGCATCGGCCAGTTTCCTTCCAAAATACTTCAGTTCCAAGTGGAGTTTCTCCAAGTTTCAGGTCCCCTCAGGCTCTCCATGCATTTGTGCCTTTGGAACAGAGCCAAACGCTGTCATTGGTAAGTGGTCCTTCTGGGGGAGAGTGGCCCCGGGTGTGATGAGTGCCACGCCAGCCTCCCTGGTGTTCCTTCCTCTCTCCTGGGGGTCCCGAATATCCCTCTCGGGGTTCACGCAGCTCCCTGCCGTCTGGGGGTTCCTGGGAAGTTGGTAGGGCAGATCATTTGGTCTTGGAACCAATGACCTGAGAGGGTTCTCCCGTTGCTGCACTAGCTGAGTGGATGCAGCTCTTCCCCCCAGAACGGTGGGTTCTTGGCCGAGCGTGCCCCCACCACGCGCAGATCCCGAGGGCGGCTCAGTGCGGGCTGCTTGCTTTTCACGCTGAGTGACGCAGTCTCCTCTGCCCAGCGATCTGTGCGGACGGCAGCTACTACAAGTTCCTGTTCAACCCCAAGGGAGAGTGCGTCCGGGACGTGTATGCGCAGTTCCTGGAGATGACGGACGACAAGCTTTGACCCTTGACCGGGGGCACGAGCACCGTGGCCCCTAGGCGCCCAGCGGCCCCTCGAGCTCCTGGGGCTGGTGATGATGGGCCGGAGGGACGGCCCGGGACCTTGGCGTGAAGCCACTCATGGCTGTTTTCCGAAGCCAGGCCTCCTGAGTCCAATGTTGAAGGAAGAATCAATGGGGCACGGGGACACTCCCGCCTGACCGCCGGCTTCACCATTCGCTTCAGTGGTTCTGCCGCATCCGCCACCTGCAGCCAGGGCTCTGGACAAACTGGGGGCACGTTGAGAAAAGGAGGGACAACGTGAAATTCATTTGTGGCGCCATATTCCATCCTTTTTGCTGAGTTTGTGATGGAGAGGTGAACGCATGTGCAATCTTGGTTCTTTCTCACCGGATATAAGTGGGATTATCACACCGGCAGCCTTAGGAGGAGGAGGGAGGAAGCCCTTCTCCCGTCTAAACTGAAGAAAGTTTAGAGTTCACAGGCTTGGTGTCTCCCTCAGGAGCCACATATCACATGTCCCCTTCTTGTTGGCGCCATTGGAGTTGAGGCAGCGCCAGGCCTACCCCGTGAACCGCACCTGTGGCCTCCTGGCAACACTGGGTCAAAGGGAGTTCCCCTTTACTCGTAGGGAACAGAGTAATGCGTAGACTTTAAAACTGAGTCACAAAAGAACACATCGCTTAATTCGGAGGATACGAAGGGAAATCGGCGTCTGAACAAAGCAGCGCCCGGTCCTGTGGGCTTCAGCCGGCCGCTTCCACTTCTCTCTCTCACCGTCTTCTCTCCCTGTTTTTAAGAATAGCTGCACACTAACATTCTGGGAATGAGAGGCACATACTTTTTTTTAACGTTTGGTAACTAAAATAGGTTATGGGCTCTATATTGTTAGTACTACTTGAGGTATATATTTAATTTTCTTAAATTCCCTTTAAACTTAATTTTGTTTTGATTTCAGGTTGCAAACATTAAAATCTGCAGCTGCAAGCTCTCAGTTTGCCAGTTCTTTTACTGTCATATAATCAACTAACTTTGTCTGTGGATTTCAATGTAAAGTATGCATGTTACTTTTATGTGTATTTAATCATGAAATTTAATTTTGCACACTTATTTGTAACGTTTCTTTTAAATAAACGTGGCTAATTTTGTTGTATTCTGTACCCATCAAGGGAAGAGAATTGTATGTTATAAAACCGCAGCCCGTTTTGTTGGACTGTGGACTGCAGGCTGCAGGAACGGCCCGGTGTGCTTCATGGCCTGAACTATCCGAGGCCGTGTGGGGGCCGGGGGCTGGTGGCAGCCCAGCTCCGGGAACAGAGAGGAGAGTGGTGTTCCCTAGCAGTGTCCGTTGTCTCTGGTCAGGAGGCTCTGCCTGAGGTCTCTTTGGGGGAAAGCGTGGTGTTGGGCCACCCATCAGTGTCTCTAACAGCAGCCTTAACTTTGGGCCCAGGAGTGAGAGGGGGTATTTCACATCTGTATGATCACTAGTTTATATTTTCCCCAGTAGGATGCCTTTAGTGTATCCAAATACACATTAAAGTAGGAAAAGAGTTTTGCAAAGGTTGGTGTCATGGTGAGTGGAGATGCTGCAAGCTGGTGAGGAAAGCTGGGCTGAGTGAGGAACCAGCTCACTGGCCCTGGGAGAGGCCATGCCCGGGAACATTCCATATCCAGGATGTTCTGGCACGTCCATTAAGAGTCCACAGTGTGGGAGCAGGTGCAGGCTCTGCCACCCCAGGCACAGCCTTGCATGCTTTGTAAAATGACAGGACAGGGACACCTGGGTGGTGTGTGAGTGACCCCCATCGAGAGGCTCTGGTTTGTCTCCTCGGGGGTTTCCCCTCGGGGTGGTGACAACACCGCATCTTGCCTGGGAAGTGCCCTGGATGAGGCTCCTGGAGGGCAGGCTGAGGTCTGGAAGGCCGAGGCGGCACAGCACTGTCCACCCTCCTTAGGGAGGTGGCGGGAAGAGCTGTCCCTGGCCAGTGGGCTGTTGGGTGAACCTTCCTCGGTTCATTTAAGGACAGCAGCAGACTTGGTTTCTCAAACTGATAACCACTGATTTATTGCCTAATGTAGGGAAAGCATGTTCTCAGCCAGGGCCACCTCTACTTCCCCTCTTGGCTGAATCCTGCCGGCCCCTGAACGTGGGTGCGGAGGGGCCAGCGTGAGAGTCTCGTGTCCAGGGCTCCCCCAAGCCCCACTTGGCGGCTGGGCTGGATCAGCCTGATTCGTGTGTCCCCCAAGTGTCTGTGTGAACATTCGGGAGCCATCTCTTGGGGCCCCCGCACTGCGCTCTCCTGCCTGCTCTCCAGGCTGTGGATGGGCGGTGGGGGCTGGGGGGAGGGCTCCAGTGTGTCTGGTGGGGACAGAGCCCTCCGAGCCCTGCAGCCTCGCCCCCGCCCACGTCCCCGGCTCATCTATCCCTTTAGTCTTCAGTGCTCACCGTGGTCTGGGAGGGTGGGGCCCACTCCCCTCCTTCCTTTGCAGCTTGTGAGACCAAAGCTTCTCATGTTTGCATTTCCTTTTTGCAACCAAACCAAACTTGTAGGTGATTTCACACAACTTGGTCCCTGGCCTCTTTTCTGTCTGTAAAAGTATTTCATCAATTTTAGTACTTTTGGAACTTGTGCTGAAATTTTGGTCTTCAAAATGGATCATAAAATACTAATCACAATACAAAATGTTCACTGTAAGGTGAACATATAGAAGAATATGAAGTGGGAATCAACATCACCCTGAGTTGCCTCCAGAGATGATGACCTTTAGAACCCCCATGCCTTTGGGGGTGAAGTCTGTGATTCTCAGTCGCATTATTGGGACCATTCTTTTAATGTTTCACAATGCAAGAACGTGTCAGGACGTACTATAATTGCCCAAAGATGCCTACTTGTAGTTTTTGCTTTTATAAACATTTGGAAATGGAAATCCTTGTGCATACATGTTTACACACTTATCCATCTATTTCTTTGGATAATAGAACTGGAATTGCCAGGCCAGAGGATCTGTGTGTGTAAGATTTATCATGCCTGCCATGATTGTGTCAACTTCAATAACTGACACCTCATCCTCACCAGAAGGTTCTGAGCACAAGCTTTTTAATCTTTGATGGAGAAAAAAGATCTCCAATTTTTAGCCAGGTTGAGCATTTTGGAATATATTTGCTGGCCGTGTGAAATTATTTTGTATATTGCTTACTTGTGCCTTTGCTTATTTTTCTGTTGGTGTATTTTGTTTATAAGGACTTTAAAAATAATCACCCCATGTCATTTTTTTCACTTTGTGTTTGCTTCAGTTTGAGGGGTTTTACTTTGCTGTGTATCTTGAATTTTTACCTAGTCTGATTGGTCAGCCTTTTTCCTTTATGGTTTCTAGTATTGGCTCATGATTAAAACAAAACGCTTTTCACTGGGTTCATTGTACGGGTCTTATTTTCATCATTCAGTCTGGGCCTGATTTCCCAGCATGTAATGAATGAGGACAGGGCCTCATCTTTCTGCACCAGATGGTCAGGCACTGCTCAAGCCAAGGGTGACTCAATCCCATTCCTCCTCCCGCCCCAGGTTGTGGGGTCTCATCCGCCTTAACGTTCTTTTCTACTTTGGATGAAAATTACACGGTTGCCCTACTACAGTTCCATCTGTCAACTGATTCATTTATTACCCAGGGACTTACTGTACTGCTTCATGAAGAACTATGTTCTGATTACAGGGCTCTGCTGATCTTAAGCATTTTTTTCCCCAGATGAACTTGAAAGAAAATGGAATAACAGCTAAAAATAAAATTTTAGTGGAATTCCAAAAACTTAAAAATGATTGTTTCTGTTTCTGAAGAGCTGAGGGACAGAATGTATCAGGATATGATAAGTATTTTCTCCCCATCAGTAATTAATATCACAGAGGACACCATAAGTGCACTGTCATTCATGTTTGTTTGTTTTAATGGCAAAGCTATTCAACTTGTGTGGAAAGAAGCTGTGAGTCTTCCTTTTGTCCTTCCCATGTCCTCTGTTTCAAGAGGATAAGAATTACTTTATGGAATTACAACTTGGAAACTATGATGTGTTTACATTTGGTTTTCTTTGTGTTTGTCATGCATGGGGCTTGCTTAGCTTCTTGAATCTAGATTTATGTTTTTCATCAAATTTGTGGAATTTCCTAGCCATTCCCTCAAATAATTCTTCTGCTGTTGTCTCTTTTCTGTTCGGATTCAAGTACACATGTATAAGACCTTATATTATCTCACTCACTGATTATTAAGGCTGTTCATACAGTTTTTATTTTTTCCTGTTTAAAAAAATAGGATCATGTCATTGAGTACCACTAAATGACCTATTACTGCCCACTCTTCTTTAAAGACTTTACAATATAAACTTTAGATGAATCTGTCAGTTCTAAAATTAGTTGCTAGTTCTTAACTAAGTTTTTTCATTCATTCATGTACGTGAACAATCTTTACATCCTTGTGCATATGTATAGTACAGGAGTTAAAATCTTTGGTCATTCTCACATTCGGATCTTCTCAGAGCAAGTCTTCATTGATTCTTTTGTTCTGTGTACGAGTCACATTAACCTGCGTGTCCTAGTACCGTGGGTTGTATCTTGGATGTTGGGTATGTATGTTGTAGATTCTGTTACGTTTCTCTGCAGAATGCAGGGTTTTCTCACTTTAAGCATTGAAGGGCTCTGGACCCACCTGAACAGTCTGCGCTGTGATGCAGTTGGGTGGGGTCAAAACGAGGGGCAGATGAGCTGCTGAGAGCACCAAGTTGAAGGAGGTGTGAGCACTTAGCTTCATGCTGCTGCCAATGGGTATGTGGTTTTGTAAGATGGTTTCCTACTCTGTTCATGTGGTGAGTCACATTGATTTCTGAGTGTTCAACCAACTCTGCAATCCTGAGATAAACCCGACTTGGTCGTGGTGTGTTGTCCTTCTCTTGTTATTCAGTTATTATTAGTTATTGCCAAATCTGACTTGCTGTATATTTAAGGATTTGTGTGTGTA